CCTATTGACCTCTGATAGATCTCCGTACGGGCGGCGATAAGTTTATAAAGACTCCGAGTTCTCAGGTGATTGGAAGCAGGTTTCGATGAGGTTCATTGCAACTGGTGGTTAGGGTCGATCAGCAATAACTGGTCAGACGACAGGCTGCATTGATCGTTGTTGTTCCGATCATACCGATTATTTCCTCGGCACTGATTCTGCTGATGCGGCTGACCATCATCATCGCTTTTCTGAGTTGCTTGTAGCCTTTACTCTGAATGCCAGCAAAACCACAGGGCTGGCGGAAGGGAAGAATTGTACCAGACACCCAAAGACAGACAGACGGACGAACTCTATAGACGGCCAGATCAGTAGCGTCATCAGTCGAAGGACATGATGCACTCCTCTGAGAGCTTTCAAGAATAACGGGAGAACGTGTAAAGAATCCGGCTTGGTGACCTTCATAATCACCATTCCCTGTTAGGATGACAAACTGAAAGTCAATAAATTTCGTCTCACTTTCGTCAGTTACAAAGAAGACTGAGCGTACAGCTTATGCTTACAGTTTGAATTCCTTCTACGGCACTTGCTGATGTTCTTCATCACCTATTCATGGTTGACATTCAAGTATGCGATAAAGAAACGTCTCTGATGATGCGAACATTTGGCATTTCCCTATTTAATGCGCAGGAATTCTTAAAATGATTCCTTCAAATGGCTGAGGTACCACATTTGAGATAAAAGCATAAATTGAATTATTAGCCATTATTGCTTGGTTTGCCTTGGTAAATTCATTTCTACCATGACTGTCAAAATGAGGGCATTGCTCTCTGATTCGCTCTAGCATGCAATCCCGGATCTATCCTTAAAACTGTTGACTCATTATGATATTGAGGGTAAGATGGACCGACCTAGAGCCGGTTCTTTGCCACAACTTCGCAACATACGGTAGATTTTGCATTTCGAGAGGAAGTGCTGTGCAAAGTTTGATCCAATCTAATGGTGGCAATGTGTTTCATTTGTATCATCTTATTTTGAACACCAGTGGACGTAAATTTTGCTTTCTAACAAATTTAATAACCATATTATTTCTTAGTTGATCTGCTGGTTAATGGCTGGAGCGATAAACAAGGCCAATGACAAAATTTTGATTGCCAAGAAGTTTCGCTAGCACTTCAGGACATAGCATAATTTTAACTACATTCTGTCTTTAGACGTATAACCCAAAAGAACTACTTTTTGGTAATAAATAATTGCTGAATGCCTTCTATTTTCATCTTGAATATTTCCAAAATAAGTTCAAATTGAATCGAAAATCGGTTAATTAAATGAGAAGTGGAAAAACGAACTTTCGAGTCATTTTCTGTATATCTGAATCGAGAGGTAGCAACAACCCAAGTAACATAATTGAAATTAAATCATTAGCAACGATCAAGACTTTATTGACTCATTTTATAGCTGAAGTTTAGTTCATTCGGATACAGCGAAAAATGACCTCAAAATCATTTAAAAACAGAATGATGGAATAGCGAAGTATATCAAGTCGAACAGACAGAACCATGGCGCTCTCATATCAAATATCTCAGCCGAGAGAATGTCAGACTCGCTTTCGAAAGATCAAGGATGCTGAATCCCAGCCAGGTAACTCGTCTTTCAATCTTCTAAGGTACCACTATGAGGGAAGGAAGCAGTAGACTGCATAACATAGTAATGGATAAGCCATAGGCGTCATCTTTATGACCGTTAACGATATCATCACAGAGATCGGTGATAGGTTTAAAACGACATAAAAAAATATTGCAATTTATGGAAGTGTGGACAAATCACCTCACAACTCTCAAAAACTTCAATTTCCTCACGCTGTTTATTCTAGCTGCACACCTGTGGTCATCGGAAATCAATAACGCTTGATGGCGATGTAATTGTAGGCGGAGAGCGGTAGTTTCATATGCACAGATCTTACACCTTCCAGACAAATCCATGTAGGATGAGAACGCCTGATCGTGTACGTGATAAAGCCAGCTTACCCGCAAGATCGAAATGACCTTATTAAAATTGCAGTAGTCGTTTGCACAAAGTAGTGGATACAAACATAAACATTTTATGTTGCAAGCCCTAAAATCCTGCATTAATTCAAGATTGTTCACAGGTGCTGATTATAACACAGTGAACGGAATTAATTACTGAACACTGATTCTTTTACTCATTAATTTTGCATATTATGTTCTAAGCCCTCGAGAACGCGTACATCGAGAGAGATGAACGTCGACCGACGCGATGCCACGACATATCAGAGCGGTTGCTGAGACCAAGGGCGGTGCACTGATATATGCGAGTCATTGATCATGCTTCCTACGAGTCTTATGTTAAGAGCAAAAGAGTTATCGTTATTTGAAAGGCTCTCCTTTGCACTGAGGAATCGTAATATTTTAGGAAACAAGCAAAAATTAAGATCGAAAGCCGCGGTAATTACTTCATTATGAATATGCCATGTACGACTTAATTCTAACAGTTTTGAAACTGCTGAAATGAATTTTTCGATCAATAAAACAACTGTCTTATCACATGGTTGAATGCATAAATAATTCAAATTTCAATTGTGTATTTCATTTTGAACTTTAGTTACGGTTAGCATTTTGTGGGTTGTGGTATTTCGCTGCTATAGAAATTGGATTCATCAAGCGCTATGACGTCATGTTGTAAGGTTTTCACTAAAATATGTATATTTATTTCACATTCTGAGTGTTCGTAAGGCTACATGCTATCTTTCTTTACATTACATATTAAGGTAGACTTCCTGTACTACCTTTGATACTTTTGTGTCTGAGAACAGTAAAACACATGATGACGGCAAATTGCCTTTGTACTGCACCAAAAACTCTTTAAAAAAACTCCATCGATATATGACTCCATTAAATTTCTGCAAACCATTATTATCTTGCCCAAGGAGTTCACTCCATATTCCTTCAGTGCAGCCAACCGAGGAACGAGTAGCAATTAGCTGACTTGCGAATAACAAAACAAACATGGCACTCTAGAACGAGCGAGAAATACGGCCATGCTGCCTGATGAGAGTGCCTCTTAGGACTGCAATTTGCCCTCACCCACCTGATAGCTACCTGTCCAGTTTGACAATGGGGAAAATGTGTGACCCCTGTTGCTGTTGTATATTCCGGAATCCTAAATGATACCAAAATAACCAAAGACTTCTACATCAATGGTCGCTGTTAAGCAGATTGTCTATAATATGGAATATGCTGAGATCAATCTGCTCACATCAATGAGAAAACGTTCTTCAAAGCAGAAACACTAAGTGATTTGTCGACCGCAAGCAATAATAACGAACGTACTCACGCCTATGTAATGAGATGAGCGTCGTGTTTTATGCATAAGACAGACGTCATTATGTATGACCATAACATCATTATGTCTCTTGATTAGGAGGGATTAGATTATGTCTGCGAAGCAATTGCCCCCCCCCCTCCCCCGGAATCTTCATGATTTTCATTTTAATTACGATCTGACGGTAAAGCTTTGCAGCATTGGTTCTTCTAGCCAGTCTTAATCACATTCGGCATGACGAAAATGTACGTTTTGCCCATACACATTTAAGAAGAACGAACGTGGAACCAACCATCTGAAGAGAACTTCAAGGCATCAACCATCTGAAGTCTCAAAAGCCAGGATTTTGTTATGCTTCAGGGATTACAGCATACACTTGCTTCTCATTTTTTTCTACTCATGGATAATAATGAATCCTCTTTATCTGCAGTATAGCTAACATGATTTTATGCACTTGAGAACGCTATATGGAAATCGGCCCACGAGGAGATCACGGGCTAGACGGCAACTATGTAGGTGACCTGACACTGTCACGTTTTAGAATACAGGCTAGTGAGGTTTGTCTGGGGACAGATGCAATCACAAAGCGCCTGAAGCAGCTGCCTTAGCAACTCGAATGAAAGAGCACACAATAAAGTTGAACGAACGAAGGAATGAATAGCAGAAAAGAACTAATGAACGGAAAGAAGGATACGTCCTCAATGTGAAACACAAGTGTGTTTGATAAATTTTGGGCTGATGCGAAAGGTCCAATTATAGGAAGAAAAACGATGCTGTGCTTATCGTTTATCAGCTAACCTGTTTCACTGTTTATAAGGCACTCTTCACACTATGACTTTGTGCCATATTGCGAAGTAACATTTGCATAGATAGCTTGTTTCCGTCAGTCCATTCGAAGGATTACCTCAATTAATTCCGGTATTAGTCGTTTGAAGCTCCGCCGCTGAGACTTCAGCCAAGTGAGAAAGGAGGGCGGTTGGGAAAGGTGGCAAGGTTTTCTGTAAAATA